TCCAGGGTCCTAGATGACCTCAGGCTACCTTCCCTGCAGGAAAAGAAGAGCAGCCAGGGGCCGGCACTGTGGTGTACCAGGTAAAGCTGGCACCGTCATCCCATATGTGCACTGGTTTGAGTCCTAGCTGTTCTATTTCTGATACAGCTCCCTGCTAATGCACCTGGGAAAGCAGTGGAAGATGGCCCAATTGCTTGGCCCCCTGCATCCATGCGGGAGACCCAGAAGAAGCTCCTGGCTCCTGATGGGCCCAGCCCCAACCATTGTGGCCATGTGTGGAGTGAACCAGCAGATGAAATGAAAGATATTGTTTTTTCTCTCTCTAACTCTGTCAAATAAATAAACAAATCCTTTTTTTAAAAAAAGAGCAGACCAATAAGAGTATCAAAAACATTCTTTCTTCAGGGTCCTGAGGTTCCAATGGGAGGATGCAAATGACACTATCTCATCAGCTCCTGAGTGGTAAGCCAGCGTTGGCATGGGTTCTGTCTTGTGAGTAACTAACCAGGCAGTCAGGATCCCAAGAATGACTTTGCCTGAATTGACAGACCTCTTTCCAAGAAATACTCAGCATTAGCTTAGCCACCATGGTACAGGGCCTGGGTTCAAAGTGGGTTTGATTTGACTGCCAAGCCAAGGCACCTGCCACGTGATCACCAACTTCTCCTGGTTCTCAATAGGGCCTTGGATTCCTGGGTCTGAAATCCTCATGGGAAGAAATAACAAGATAGCTATGTGTTGTTGTTATTGTTAAATGACAACCTTTGGGCACAGGTCTAAGGTAATATAAGCAAGGCAAGTTTAACTATTTCCATGTGTTTCTGGGAACTAAAGACACAATGCTGTGACTTCAGAAAGGACAGAAAAGCCAGCATGGTCAGAGCCACTGTCATGTTGCAGACACAGTCTCATGACAGTCGGAGTATAAACACACACGTGTGCGCACACACACATACACACACACACACTTTAAAGGAGAGAGAAACCAGGCTCAAAGAGGCTAAGTAATCTGTTACACAGCAGACATGGAGAAGAAATAGAATGAAAAGCCAGGTCTGCCTAGCTCCTGTTAGTCCCCTTTTCACTACAGTAAACTGCCAGATGGTACCTACAGAAAAATCCCAGGCACTGCCCCCAGAAATGTCTGCATCTGCTCATCAGGGGACGCGTATGTGACCACTGTCCTCCACTGAGCGCCCTCATCCTGGGAAGACAAGTAACAAGGATCGTTGTCAACTGAAGCTCCCCCTTTAGTGGCAGGGAGGGAACCTGTAAATATGCATCCTCTTACCCTGGCCCTCCATCAAATTCCACTCTGCAACATTCACCACTAGACAGGCTGTATGTGTAGCAACACAATCCAATAAAATTGAAATGAAGAAAACAACTTTATTTTTCACTACTTCCATTCCTTATTCGAATTATGAGTACTCTAGTTATGTCTCATACTTGGCCTGTCTAGAAACTCATTTTGCGGTGAAATATGCCCCTGTGTGATTTGTATTTGTAACTGTCTGGCTTGATTTCAACAGCCTGGGCTAAAGAACAAGGTGACAGGTTTGTGGGAAACGCAAAAGGGTCTCCTCACTTCCTTTATGCCAGTACAACCTGCACTGTCAGGCATTCTTTTTCCAGAAATGAAATATCTGCTCCAGGAACCACCTAAATCTTGCCAAAGGGGAGAGAAACCCTTCTATTTTGCAGTACTGTGTAATAATATGGGAAATGTGCTGTCAATACAATGTCAAATAACCAGGTGGGACATAAAGTTGCATAAATACTAGGATCTCAATCACGTATTATTCTAGAACGTCACTCCAAAAAGAAATAACTAAAAATGCTCATAGTAGTTATTTTTGCTTTATGGGATTACACATGATTACTTTGTCTTTCTAATTTCAGTAATAAGCACATATTGCTACTCAACAGTCAAATGAAATTACTAAAATAGGAAGGGGTGTTTTTTCCCATAAGGAGGTTTGAATATTACTCAGTGTTCCCTCCCTATCAGAATCACTATGGGAAGATAGAATTGTGATGTATATCAGACACACAGACTGTCCAAGAAACTGTCCACTAATCTCATCAATGAATACAACTAGGAAGAGCCACTGCATAACCTAAAGAGGATGTGGAAAACCACACATGGTGTTCAAGAGAGATCTGTCCCAGAAATGCAGACTGGTAAATCTATTGATCAAACTGACTAAAATATAAATCAAGTGAGGAAAACATGTATAATCATTGAAATACATACCAAAAAAGCACATGATGAAATTCAACATGCAATTCAAAATTTAAAAAAAATTAGTATCTCCTAGAAAATAATATATAGAGATGGTTTAATGATTTTTAATGAACATCATATTTAAATGCAATTTAGCAGCATTTCCATTAATTTATGAGCAAGACAATAATCTCTACTAACCCTAAATATTGCACTGACATATGCAGCCAGTGTAATATGATAGGAAAAACAAATACATACTTAAATGTTAGATAGGAAGACAGAGCTTTTTTACAGGTTATATGTTGTCTCCAAGAAAACCCAAGAAAAGTGGAAGAAAGTATTCACATTATATTCAAGTTCCAGACTGCCTTATGACCTGTCTATCCTTTGATAGTCCTATTTATTTTGGTCCAATCATCAACATTTTTATTAGAGTACTTATTACCCCATAGTCAGACCTGAAGAACAAGAAATGAATTAATGCTACTAACAGCACATTCACTCTCTCTTTTCAAGGTGTGTGTGCTTACATGGTACCTCGCTTTAGGCAAGCATAGCAAAAACAAAGTTTATTTAATACTTTTGCAAAATTATAAATTGTAAAATTTTGTTCTTAGATAAATCTGTTGCTTGCTTTTCAAGAGCCACTTGGCTATATTAACATGATATCATAGCAAACAATGTGCTGATGATGAAGATGAAAAGAGGGAGAGGAAGAACACAACTAACCTTTGGTGTGCATTTCATGCATGCCAAGTACTACAATGAGCATGTTATTCATCTTACTTCATTAATCTTCGTAGTTTGTAATATTATATGCTCATTTTATAGAAGAGAAAAATGAGGCTCAGAGAGGTTAGGTAACTTTCTAAGATCACATAATGAGGAAGTGGCAAAGCCAAAATTTGAACCCAGGTCTCCCTGCCCATACTCCTTGGGATTAGCCTCTCACTAGAGGACAGCCCTCACGTATGTATTGGTCTGGTTTTCCAGGTCCTTAGGGGAATGAAGATAAAGAGATTCTCAAAAGGGTCACCTCCACGTGCCCTTCCCACAACCCTAACTAAGCCAACGTCCTGGAGAACGGCAGTCCTCTCTTCCGAAGGCCTCTTGCTTTGCATGTTAAAATTAGGAATGGAAAGATTTGCACTAAGATATAATTTTTAATGCATTAACCATTCAACAGCAGAAGTTTAGAGGAAAGGTTATCTCTGAGGCAAAACGATAACTTGTCAGTTTCCATTGAAAAAAAGATTCAAATTCTAATACACACCGACTCCATAATTTTTTTTTCCCACCAAGCAGTTCTCCCCAAATCTGTTCTCTCATCCAATTGCTTTCCATTATTCTTAGATCGTCACGCACACGAGACAAGGTTTACATTAAGTTTTAGGGAATCAAATAGACTGCTCCCAAAATACTTGTGTTTCAAATTAACATAAAAACTAAAATGTGTAGTCCTTCCTAGGATATTGGCTGTCCAGGAGCTGCATATATTTATCACATCCACAGCCCCTTGCTTTGTATAAAGTGTCAAATGCTATCACAAAACCAAACTGGGCAGGCACCACGATGTGTCCAACAAACCACTGCCTATATACAAAGAGACCAAAGGCATTCCAGTTTGCAAATCTCATTGACGGATTTCAAGACCTGAAAGAGAGCTCTGTTAATCCCCTTCGACATAGCAGAAAAGATTGGGGGTAGCGGGTGGGTGGAAGGATATAGGAGACTGGGGGCAGGGGATGGCTGAGCCACAGCAAGAAAACATACAGGCTCATAGCTCGAAGTTGCTTGCATCTAATTACAACAAGGGGACGAACTTGCTCAGAGTACATCCTCCAGCAAACCTGGAGAGTGACAGGATTACCCTGTTATCACACCGTGCATGCCAGTCTTCCTTACCAGGTATCTGTGCTCCTCCTCTCTCTCAAGCACTTTCTGCTTTCTCCCATCTGGGACTTACAGGGAGAACAAGAGGTCCAGCTCTGAAGGAGCTTATAGTGTAAATGCCCGAGACAAACACTGGAAGTTTTTAATAAAAGGAGATACCAACCACAGGCTACTGAAACAAAATCAACAAAAGCAACTAACTCTGGCTGGGAATAAAGAAAAGCTCCCCTAGGAGGCTCCACTGAACTCAAACCTAGAGCATAAGCAGGAGTTTCGGACAGAAAAAAACAAATGAAGAGCATCCAAAGGACTGCAGGCTGGATTATGGGTCCAGCAGTTCTCAAAGTGTGGTCCCTGGACCAGCAGGATCAGCATCACCTGGGCATCTGTCATAAAACACAGCGTCTCAGGCCCCACCCCAGACCTAGTGAATCAGAACTTCTGGGGACAACCCTCTACTATCTGTGCTCTACCAAATGCTTGGGGGAATTTGTGTTGTTGGAGCTGAGAATCACTGCTATACTTCATGGTGAACTCCAATAGGCAGAAAGGCAGGAGGCGAAACAGGGTTAGAGGGCAGGGGGAGCGAGACAGAGAGATGGGTAGAGGGGTAGGCAGGAAGCATATCTGGAAGGACCTTCTCTCTTATAAAAAGAATTTCAGACTTTGGAGAATAAAGGAGATCCGGCACAATAATATAATTGCTCCCCAAACCCCACCAAATAACTTAAAAATATGCAATCACCAAGATTTATATTATATCATATTTCTATTTTTATAAATATATTTAAAATATATTAATTCTACACACACACATACACACCAACTCCTTTGTACACAGCGAAGGAGCCATGAAGAAGGGGTCAGCGCAGCCTACCTTTCTTTCTGGAGTCTTTCTTGGCGCTGGTTTTCACAGCTACTTGAAGTTCTGTCTCAGTTGACATCCTACTTAATCCTTAGTCCACTTCACACAGATCCCGGGCCTCGGCCAGGCTCATTGAGGACTCCTCTCCAAGAGAAAGACTCCCCCCTTCAGGAACGACACCCCGAGCCGCACATTTCAGTCACTCTTCTGGAGTGCTGCAAATCAAGATGAGAGAACATTCAGAACCACCACTCTTTGGACGTTAAACAGAAATTCTGAAAAGCCATGAACTGGCAACCACATCAAACCATGATATTCTTGCTCTACATTTACAAACAGCTCAGGATTTCCCGAAGCCCTTGGTAGGGTTTATACAGCAAAGGGAAGAAGGGCAGGACTACTGGCAGTTTCTCCAACAAGGCAACTGTGAAACCTTGAATTTTCACAAGGGGCAAACCTATCCCTTTATTTTCCATGTTTCTTTCTTTTTTATGCACCAGATGCCACCCAGAAAATAGAGCAAAGACGTATTTCCTGACCAACCCCGTGGGGACTCTGCCAACCACAGGGCACCCATCTATCAGCCGAGCTCCACCAGAGCCCTAGCAGCTAAGGCAGATCATTGGAAAGCGACCTGTGGTCTGTCCCTCACTGGCAGGCATCACAGGGGACATGGAGTTGACATACAGTTGGGCTCCACAGGCAAGGTGACAAATGGGGCTGAGAAACTTTCCAGCAAGCCAATTTTTGTGTCAGCTTTTCCCCCAGCTATAAGAGCAGACAAGCATTTAATATGAGGAGAGAAAGAAAAGGAGACAGATACACATTTCACTCACTCATTCTTTAATAAATATGCATTGCACATTACAAGGTACTATTAAGTCCAGACACTGCTAGGGAGAGAATAATGATAATACAGTCACTTCAATTACTGCTGGTATTTACTATGCACTTACTATATACTGTGCCCTCAGCTACTGCTTCACATACATTATTTCATCTCATTTAAATTGAATAAATGTATTTCCTTTGTCAAATCAATCGTTTTTCCCAGTGACTATCTGAGAATTATATCAGAATTCTACTGAAAGTGCATTTCACCAGTGCATTTCACTTTTAAGGAATATTAAGAAAAGCATTCTGGAAAGGAATCTTCAAATTGTGCAGCTGGTTTTTACTCCTTCCTCAGATCTAGAACTATTTAATCTTAAAGGGTTCATATCAAATGCCAGTTTCAGCTAAAATGATTAATATAATAATTATTATAATGATCCAAGTCTCTTAATCATGATAATTGAAGTTGGCTTGACCAGCAAGTCTAATATAAAAGCCACATAAGATTATTAGCAAGGCTTAAATAGGGGGATCCCATCTTATCTAAATATACTTGATTTGGTGGTGGTACTGGTGGTGTTTTAATAAGATAACCGTTGCAACGAACCCTAGGGACAGGCATTTGACCTAGAAGTTAATATACCCACATCCCATTCCAGAGTACCTGGATCTCCCAGCGGCAGTTTCCTGCTACTGCAGACTCAAGGAGGCTGCAATGATGGCTCAAATGATTGGGTTCCTGTCACCCATATGGAAGACATTAATTGAGTACCTTCCCTACAGTGTGCGCCCAGCCCAGTCCTGGCTCATTCCTAGCCATGGTAGGTATTTGAGGAGTGAATCAGCAGGTAAGAGCTCTCTCTGTCTCTCAAATAAAATGAGACAGACAGACAGACAGACAGACATGCACTGGTCATGAACATAAGTGCTTAAGCTAAAGGATCCACTGCTTCAACTGATGAAACTAAAAAATTATCTTTATAGAATAAGGTCCATGAAAACCATACATAGAACCTGAGAACTTCTCCTGCAACCTGCTGCACCTGCACCATGTATCATGCCACTAGTGCTTATTCCCACCTCCTTTCCCCCCCACCGGGACAACAGCCCATAGGAAATGACAGATGCAAAACGTGCTCATATATGGACATAATTCATTTTTTTCTTTTCTTTTTTTATTTATTTGACAGGTAGAGTTGTAGACAGTGAGAGAGAGAGACAGAGAGAAAGGTCTTCCTTCTGTTGGTTCACCTCCCAAATGGCCACAATGGCTGGAGCTGCACCAATCTGAAGCCTGGAGCCAGGTGCTTCCTCCCAGTCATCCATGTGGGTGCAGCGGCCCAAGCACTTGGGCCATCCTCCACTCCCTTCCCAGGCCACAGCAGAGAGCAGGACTGGAAGAGGAACAACTGGGACTAGAACCAGTGCCCATATGGGATGCTGGTGCTGCAGGTGGAGGATTAACCACGTGAGCCACGGTGCTGGCCCCAGACATAATTAATTTTCTTAGTAATCTATACCATTTTATTGCAAGAAATATTTTTGAAGAGCCTTTTATGTGCCAAGTGCAAACACTGGCTCATTCATGTCAACAAACACTGACTATGCAACCATGCTGGCCAAGAGTAGAGCATCAAAGCATGATTCCTGTCCTCAAAGAAGCTCACCCAGCAAAGACATCAGTCACATAAGAATTCTCAATCTATGTCTATGACCAATACTAAAGAGGTAAAAAGCAAAGAGCAAGATTCACCTTGGCCTGAAAAAATCAATAAAATTTCACAGAGGGTAAGTCCTAGTCTGAGTTCTTGAAGATTATATTTCTGTCAAATGGATTAGGGAAAGGACCAACAGGTTGTCAATTACACAGAGAATGAATGAATGAATGAATGGGTGTTTCAGGTAACAGAATCAGCATGCACAAAGGCAAGGTGGCTTGTGACCAACAATCAAAAGAAGTACAAGTCTAGGGAGGCAATATGTTCCCTGTCTTCCCAATTTGTCTTGTACTCTTATTTTTTCATGGAACTTCTCTTATAAAGTCTGCCTTGACATTCGACTTACACTATGACCTGGTTTTTTGTTTTTGTTTTTGCCATCTTCGTAATTTCAGCCCCTGATCAGCCATGTGATATTAAGGAAGTTATTCAGTTTCTCTTTGCATCAGTTTCTTCATCTATACACCAGGTATAAAAGTGCTAACTTCACAGAACTGCCATGGAAAATAGGCGGGATCACACAAGCCACGTAAGCAATACGACTGGAGGACTATTTGGCACATCTGCTGGCGGCACTTCATCAACCTTAGGCACACAGCTCCCTGTGTCACTTGACCAGGGCCACATGGCTAGTTTGTCACCCTAAGGCCATGTAATCATACCCTTTTTACAAAGAGGGACACTAGGTGAAGTTTGCATTTTGGAGAACTAGAGAAAATGGGTACAGTCTCTGCCCTAACCATCATGCTGTTCTCACACAAAGCAGACAACTAATTCAAAAATGCAGAAAAGAACTAATAAAACATGTGGATTTTGCACAAGTTCAGGGATTCTTTTTTATTTATTTGTTTATTTGACAGGCAGAGTGGACAGTGAGAGAGACAGAGAGAGAGAGAAAGGTCTTCCTTTTGCCGTTGGTTCACCCTCCAATGGCTGCCGCGGCCGGTGTGCTGCGGCCAGCGCACCGCGCTGATCCGATGGCAGGAGCCAGGTACTTCTCCTAGTCTCCCATGGGGTGCAGGGCCCAAGGAGTTGGGCCATCCTCCACTGCACTCCCTGGCCACAGCAGAGAGCTGGCCTGGAAGAGGGGCAACCGGGACAGAATCCGGTGCCCCAACTGGGACTAGAACCCGGTGTGCCGGCGCCGCAAGGCGGAGGATTAGCCTAGTGAGCCGCAGCGCCGGCTAGTTCAGGGATTCTTAAAAGGCTTTGTATAAAGCTAGACTGAATCTGGGCCATGGTCTCCCCTTCAACATTACAACCACAGTGTAGCGCTTCCCCTATTCCATGGGTAACCCCAAGTCCCATGTTTGACAAAATGCGATTGTGTTCAAGTGCAATCAACATTACTTGTGAATTGCTAACGTGCATCCCCGTATCGATAGTGGGAGGAAACCAGCATTTTTCGGAATAGAATCTTAAATCAGGAAGCTGCAGTACAGATGGACTGTATCACCGGCATCCCCTTTAAGTTTCCAAAAGCCAGAGGTTGAGCAAGTGCTGTGAAGGATCTCCAAATTATTTAGGAAATTCATTTCTTTGTAATTAAGGAGATTAAAGTCCTCCAGGGCCAGAAACCATGTGACAACTCAAATCATTTACCCAGTAAAAGCTGTGAAACCCTATCAGTTAAATTCAGGCTCGCCTAGAATTTTGAAATGCTTCAATAATGTTTCTTTGCTCCACACAATCTGCAGTAATTTAATATTCCTGAAGTGTGTCAGGTTTTTTATAATGAGCTCTTCACATCTAACTGTGAATTAGGTAACATTCCACTACAGACATTCTGTCTAGTGAACTGATTCTAAAATGTAAAATTCCATGTTCAGGGATGGGTTTGGGGACAGAAACACCCAACCACAAAGCAGAGAAGACAGACAGAGCTTTTTGGAAAAACAAAGCGCGCAGGTTTGAGCAGGTACACCAGAACAAACACACACTCACACACGAATGTATATTCTCTTCCCCCCCATCCACTCCTCGCCTCATGCAATCCCATGATAAAATAGCTAATGTTAACAGAGGGTCCATTATCAACCAAGTACTGTGCTGTGACATTTTCATATACTCTCTGATTCAATCCTTTCAACCACCTGCAGTGTTGGAGACTATCATTATCTTCACTTACTGGATGAAGAAACTGAGGCACACGTCAATCGAGGAGTTTAGCCAAGGTCACGTAAGTAGCATAGTACGTGCAAAAATACAACCCATTCTTCCCTTCCCCTTCATTCAAACCCTCTCAGATGTCCATCAGTGATGACTGGATAAACGAAATGCTATGTCAATACAAAGTAACATTACTCAGCAAAAAAAGGGGAAGTACTGCTGATAACATGCTGCAATGTGGATGAACCTCGAAAACATTAGCTCAGGTGAATGCAGTTAGACAAACAGGGTGGCATATGACTCCTTTCATATGGAATATCCAAATAGACAGTTCATGGAGACAGAAAGAAGATCAATGGTTGCTAGGGAATTAGGGGGCCAGGGAAAGGGTGACTGACTACTTAATGGGTGCAGGGTCTCCTTTGGCTGTAATATTTTGGAACTAGGTAGAGCTAATGGTTTCATAGCCTCACTAATGTAATAAATAGCATTTTGAAATGAGGAATTTTATGTTAGGAAAATTTCAAGCCAGAAGAAAGTCCTTCCCAGCCTAA